AATCATCACAATATTTACAGTTTTGATTCATTTTATATCGGCAGTCAAATCATATTTTTATGGTAGCATTTCTAATACACTGGTGATTTAAGACTTGACAATGTAATAATGTGGTTTGTTTATCAGCTGTCTCTTACAGAGAGTGAAATCGGCAAAATCGGCACGATCAAAGTGGAGGGAATCATCAATCCCACAAACGCAGAGATTGATCTGAAAGAGGGAATCGGTCAGTGCATTACGGTGCTGTTAGCTACTATTAAATTAATGTCATTTGCATTTGCTAGGTGGTAAAATTATAGATTTGTGTAGCAAGTGTCGATTCGCCAGAATATTTAAAGAGATGTTTAAGCCTCTTTTTGAAGTATATGGCGAAAGCTAATGTATTTTCTGTGCTGTGACCCAGGTAACGCTCTGGAGAAAGCAGGAGGAAAAGATTTCCTAGAGACCGTCAAGGAGCTGAGAAAAAGCCAGGGTCCTTTGGAGGTTGCATCAGGTTGAAGTCACACACATTTCTTGACTCAAGCAGACACAAATTAGTGTGTGTGCTCTAGCAATGTTCAAAGAGGCAGGAAATGACCTTGTTCAATATTTGAATATAGGAAAAAAGTACAGCCGTCATGGAAACTTAGTGATACCAGTAGGGATGTAACGATTAACCGTGAGCCGGTTGAAAATCGATTCAAATCGGTTGAGATGCTAAACAAATCGCGATTCATTTAGGTGTAGGAGTTTATGCATGTCTGAGGGGAACTTACTGTGTTTAGAAAAGTTTAGATGATATTTTTTCTTTTCATCTTGCCTCTGTATAATGCACATTAAATTTCATAAGTTCAGCGCTGCTTTGTTTACAGCGGAAACCACGCTTTAGGCGCCACCTGCTGGCAGAGAGTGAATCTGCGTCTCATTCAGCTCGTCTGCTGTTTCGGTTTCATGCAGATACTTTTATATATAGTTTCACAAAACTGAAGTCAAACCATTCTGTTTTTGCTTCAAATTTCGAAATTATACAATCTAATTTAGATTAAAAACTGCTAATGTTGCATGTATGCAGCATCTTTGTTTGGATCATGATTAAAATGCAGTGGTTGCCTCTAATTTTAAATGGAAAGAGCACAGACAAAGCCTAGTTTGTTTATATGAAGAGATTTATTTTATTTGTGTTATTTCTTTGATTTGGGGCTTGTTTTAAAATTTCAATGTAGTTTTGTTATTTACATTATATTTCAATTTTGTCATTTAGCAGACGCTTTTGTCCAAAGCGACTTACAAATGAGGACAATAGAAGCAATCAAAACCAACAAAAAGGGCTATATTAGTATAGTGTTATATTTCAATTTCACACAGAAATGTGCAGCATTTTGTCCAAGCAATAATAAAAGGACACATTTAATTTATAATTGGTCTTAAATCTCATTTTGTTAAAAATAAATAAATAATTGTGAATCGAATCGTGAAATCAAAATCGTGAGTTGAGTGAATCGTTACATCCCTAGATACCAGGCATTTTTAGGATAATTTGCATGCCTGGAAAAGTGCAAAATCTTCAGTAGTGAATGAAGATTTTTATAGCTTGTTCTGTTCTGCAGACATTTGTACACTAAAAAGTGTTCTACAAAGATTGTTACATGACATACAATGGAAAATCAGCCCAAAACTGTGACTCGTTTTCCTCGGTCCTTTGATTCTTTGATCAAAAAGTCTGGAAACTTTAAAAGTCGGACAAGAAAGCGGGAAGAAATCCCCTGTAGATGCTGAAGAAAGATGTTGTTGTGACCGTTTCGTATTCCCTCTGCTCTGCAGTGGCTGTGAGCCAAGCCAATGGGATGGCAGCACGTTTCATCATCCATTGTCACGTTCCTCAGTGGGGTTCAGAGAAGTGCGAAGATCAGCTCGAGAAAACAGTCAAGAACTGTCTGTCTGCTGCCGAGGAGAAGAAGCTCAAGTCGGTGGCCTTCCCTTCGCTACCCGCCGGACGGTGAGCATCACAATCATTCACACAGGATGAATGTCCTTTGGCTTTCAGATCAATAGGCAACTAGATTTGAAGCTCATTTACTGCATGGCTATGTTTCGAAGTGATTGTGGCGAGAAATGGTTCCCAGAAAATGGAAATCATCTCACCTCTTTGGTTTTTGTTCCGACAGAAATGGTTTCCCAAAGCAGACAGCAGCCCAGCTAATACTGAAGGCCATTTCGAACCATTTTGTCTCAGCAACCACCTCCTCCCTGAAGAACATTTACTTTGTTCTGTTTGACAGCGAGAGCATTGGGATATACCTGCAGGAGATGGCAAAGATGGACGCCAAGTGATGTTGAGTCATGGGTTTGATTTCTTTTGAAAGTGTAACGCCTCGATGCAGCTCTGTTTTGGCTTTGCTTTGACTGGTTTCGTCGGCCTCGCCGTCGTGGGAAGGTGAAATGAGTTAAACGTGAGCTTTAGCGGAGAGTGCATCCAGGCTAGTAGGAGCGTACTAAGTGGAGTGTAGTGCAGCTTGGTGAAAGATGTTGTAGGTATATGTTTTTGACAACAGATTATTTGAAGGTGTTTAAACAAGGATATTTGTGAGTGATGTACTGTACACATTTATGTTTCACTGTTCTCCTTTAAAGAAAAGACATTCATTTAGACTAGATCAACTTAATCTTCATCGTTTGCCATTTTTATCCTTAGACTGATCTTGTTTTTACATTCCATGTTCAGAGTTGAACTTTTGACCGTTGTTTTTTGCCTAGATATATCATGTGTGGTTTCTGACTGTTTTGGTTTATCAAAAAAAAATTTAAAAAAAAGTGTTTCTTGTTCTGCTTTGAAATAAAAAAATGTTTTACACCACAGGTTGAGCTCTCTTTTTCCACACCATTAATTTACTGAGTCTCGTGTCGTTTCAATCCTGTATGACTGACTTTGTTCTGCAGAACATAAAAGATATCTTGAAGAATTTTGGCAACCAGTTTCCGCTGGACAAAAATACACTACATTCCACAGAAGAAATTAAGTCATACAGGTTTGGGACGACATGGTGAGTAAATGACAGAATCCCTTTTAATGTCCATAACTTGTCATCGTTTACTTCCAAACCGCTGTTTTCTTTAATGAATCAAAGATCAACATCCACGCAGCTGTTTCCCACAAAACTGAAGGGAATGTTTATTATACCATCAAAATCATGAAGTATTCCATATAGATACAGACTGAAATGCAAGTTGTGAACTGCTGAAAAACTTGCCTTCACCGGAAGCTGATCTCATTTTCTCTGACGTTTCTTGAAATATTAGATGCATCAGGTGGGATGTCATCAATGGCAAACACTAATGGGCTCTCACAAAGCACCTGACATGGAGTACTTTAGCTTTTTAGTCTTTTGAGGAGCTTGGTGATATAAATCAACCTCCATTGTAGATCAAAGAGATAGTCTGCACAAAAATGGAAATTGTCATTTGCTCACCCTCAAGTCGTTCCAAACCTGTAAGACTTTGCAGGTAACCAAAGAGTTTTGGTTCATTTTTGGCCGTTGATTTCCAGTCTGGAGAGAAAAAAAATTCTGGAAGCATTCAAAACAATTTAAATTTTTGGCTGAGCTTTATTCTCCTCTTTGGGTCTTGGCTTCCTAAATAATTCAAATTAAATGAAAGTAATAAAACATAATTGACATGCAAGAGAAAAACAATGACACAACATTAGGATATTTTACCATATATTTATTACATTGTAAAAAGTACATTAACTTTTATTCATATATATATATATATATATATATATACACACAGATTATTTTCATTGAATTACCTGTTGACTACAGAATTAGTTTCTGATGTATCTAAGAATGCAGTACAACAAGTGCACATACAAAGAAAAGAATGTCTTCCTGTCCACGCCACCTCTTAGGTTTGTGATGGTGTGATCACTGATCTGCTGTCACTGCAGTGATGATCGACGATAAATTACAGTATCATTCCTTAAAGAACCTACTGTCTCTCTGTACTGATCCAAACATAGCATGAGTCTCAGGTCATACGCTGATCACTAGAAGCACTTGAGCTGCTCGCGGGTGGTCTTGGCTGATAGAAGCGGAGGTGCAGGTCAGAGTTATTATATATTTTTATTAGTGAATTTTATAGCTTTCTTCTGAGATCAACTTCTCATGAAGCATTCATTAATTCATACCAAGCTAAAAGTGGTCAGTAAACTTCCAGAGCCGAGATCACCACAATAAAGGGATACAACTGATAGAAAGAACAGCAGAAACATGTATTTGGAAGAAATGATCTATTGTCCCGGAGAAATTCTTGAAAGGGTAAGCTTCAAAGAGCAGAAGTGCCTCGGCAATACAACATAAACGTGAGAAACAAAACTATCGCTCTTTAAGACGACCCACGAAGAAAAATACCCATCAAAATAAAGCCTGACGTACAGCTGGTTTGTTTAGTTGAAAACATCAGTGAGGTGTCTGGAATGTCGTAGAGACGCACGATAATGAATTATGTGGCGTCATCATAAGCTATATTTTATTGTTTTTAACCAAAAGAATTGAGGGATAGTTTACCCCAAAATGAACATTCAGTCATCATTTACTCACCCTCATGTTGTTCCATACCTTTATGACATTTTCATCAAAGATATTTTAAGAAGACTCCTGGTCCATACAATAGAAAGTCAATGGGCGATGATGTTGTTTGTTTTCCAACTTTCTACAGATGTTCCATAGAAGTTCTACAACAGTTCTATAGAAGAAAGATTTGAAGTGACATGAGGGTGAGTAAATGACAGAATTTCGTTTTTGGGTGAACTATGCTTTCAATTTTCGAATGAACAATGAATGGCAAACTTTACGTGGCTACATCTGTTTTCTCTGGAGGAATTTATGGCAAAACTATATAATTAAAGTGTAAAAGCCACAATAATAAACAATATGAACTGTCAAAATAAATTATGTTTTCTTCATCATACTGTACAGTTTCATTTAGCTTGAGCGGTGATAAAAGCTTCAGCGCTAATGTAGTTTTTACGGTTTCATTAGCTGGACCCAGTGTGCGGTACCTCTACCCATCAGCCATTCTCTGTGATCACTGCCTGAGTAACAACCAAGTATTGATACATTCAAATCTGCTCTGACAGGTGTAGTTAACCTAACCGACCGAAATAAATCTAGTCCCATCAATAATGAACTGTCCTCCAGGGTGGCACCTTCCTGTTTTGAATAAATAGGATCATCTATGTAACATCTCTTAACCGAAGGACATTCGAGTCTGAGCAGTTTGGGAGTTGCTTTGATGTCTGAAATGAGGAGAGGCAACCATGCATGTCGATGTCCTCCACACTCTCTTACGCTCTTATTCCAGGTTCTGCTGTTACATAATGTAATAGTGTGGGCTACAGCGAGTGCACACGTGCAGGAGAACAGTCAAATCAGATGCTGCTTCCACCGTTTCTCCCTCAGACGTGGCGGCGGCACTCTTTGGGCTTATGTTTGAGGGGCGGGTCATTTGGTGGAGGGGCGGGGCAGCAGGGGCACTGGTGAGGTAGCCTCTATGAGAGCCGGGTTCAGAATGATTGGCAGGGACATCGGGGGGACGCCCACTTGCAGAGGAGAGGCGAGCGGCTGCAGGATGAGTGGAGACTGGCCCAGAGGAGGCGGTGGGGAGTCAGGAGGACTCATCTTTGCTGGAGTGGGCATCGGTGGTTTTGAGGGAGGAACTGGAGATGATCTGTCTGTTCCTGCATAGAGGAAAGGAAGCAGAAGAGTTGACAATAACTAAATTTTGAAATACAACTGAAAAAAAAAATCCTTGAAAATATATCACAAATCACAGCTATAAATATATAGATTATTTTTGGCAGCTGTTACAGAAACATTTTTACAATAAATATTCAGATTTGACTTTGAGATTAGATAGCTTCAATATTTAACCACTATTTATGGTAATACTTGGTTACAATGACACTAATAGCTCTTATTTCTGCCAGGAATCTTTAAATAGAATAGAACCATAATTTCTTAATGACTCGCAGAAAGATGATTCTCTGCCGATCCATCAGTCAATGTAAACTTCCTGTCTCACAATACATTTATGAGTCAGTTTATTATATACAATATCTGCATTAGGTCACAGTAGAGTGAGTTTTGAGCAAAAACATTATGTATTAATCTCATACTGTCACTCTGAAATAGACTAATGGCGCGAGCTGAAAAGCCCTGCATGGACCAGGATCACGAAACCCAGACGGTCTTTAAGTGGGAGCGCTGACAGTGAAAGTCCATTTCTGATTGTTATTTGTATTGTCATGTTGCAGTGTTTTACTTGCTGAGGTTTATAAAAAAAAAAAAAAAATTTCATATGCTCTGTTGGTGGTTGGTGGGGTAGCATCACCCGGGGGGATATTTTTTTATATTTCTTTTTTAGATATTTCTTATTTTTTTGAAATAAGAAAACACTTTTTCACACAGGGCCATGTAGTTTTGGATTTTGTTTTCCCTTAATAATAAAAACCTTCATTTAAAAACTGCATGTTGCGTTTACTAGTGTTATCTTTGACTAATATTTAAATTTGTTTGATGATCTGAAACATTAAAGTGTGACAAACATGCAAAAAAATAAGAAATCAGGAAGGGGGCCAACACTTTTTCACACCTCTATATATATATATGTAAAAAAAGATATACAGATCTATATAAATTTTTCACTCTTTG